TAACTTTCAGAGTCTTAGTCAGAGCCCATATGTTACAACCTGGAGGAAATGATGCTTGGGGATGACTAACAGAACATGTTCCTGCTGTTAATTTGGGTGTCATTCCAGAAATTTAATTTGTAAGCTTTCCCTTTCATTTTGTTAACACACTTACTTCCTAATTCCAGTCTCTGCTCTTGTTCCCCACTAAGGAACTTAATGAAGGGATAAATTTTATATTAACAAAGAGAGGTATGTGTTCACCCTGCCTGCAACAAGTAGGGAGAAGCAGAGAGCATACATGTGTTAGATCAGCAAAAATATGATCTATGGATAGGAAATTTGCTTTAATGTAGCTTCCTGCTGCAAACATCGTTTTACTCCAGTCTCTCTGAACGGGCGTGTAATTTTCCAAGAGCGAGGCTATAAAGTACTAATTGGGAATTATTTCTTCCTCCCAAAAAGAAGCGAATAGCTTTCAGTGGTTTGATGCTTAAAACTGACCATGCAGTTATTATCTGATTTGCAACAGGAAAGCTAGGAAAATTAATGAAGAAAAGGTAGCTTACAATTTATAACCTCTTCTTACCACTTTTTTAATATCTGTCTGTTCAATTGCCCTTTGTAGTGAAGGATACATTGTATAACCCCAACCCAATTAATGCTTATTTGCCTATACGAACGGTGAAATCACAGAGCCGTAAGCCAGCCAGGCTGTATGTGCGACCGGACGGTGTCTGCGTGACTGGTGATGCTGTGCCCGAGATGCACCATGAACGCTCGCTGTTGCGGTTTATGCCTGCAGAAGCACTCCGTAAGCACTTAACCGCAGGAGCCCAGAGTAGCTGTAATAATAAAATGTCAAATTCTCAACGCAGGGTTAAGGCAGCCGGCCACGGATCAGTGTGGCTGCACTGGGGAACGCCTCTTTAAACCAGCCTGCTTTGTAGGCTGCGTGGCAGCGGATGCAGTCTCCTATCTGCTCTTGTGTTTTGTATGACTTAGTGCTTTCGTTGCTGCTGGGCATGATTCTAGCTTTGGCATTGCAGTAAAATAACAGGTAATTGATGAGTTTGCATTGTGTATGTATTTGCAAAGCTGATACAGCTAAAGCTCTGAGGGCGAGAAAGCTCGTTCTTAGTGTCCGCTCCCTCTGGTGCTCCCATTCCAGCTGTGCTGCCGACAAAGTCTGTACTGAAGCCTTTTAAGCTGACTATTCTTCACAGTTTATTAAGCCGGAGAAACAAATTTACAGATTCTTTCTTAGCAGTAACACAAACCGAGCAGCCGTCTCGCTTCTTGCTTGGTTCTGTTTAACTTCAGTTTGTCTGGAAAAGCTGAACTAGCTCAGTGCGATCACTGTGGACTTTTGAAGGTTGAAGTTTATTTTAGAAACCTTGGTGCTAAGTACTAGGCTTGAGAAGCTTTCAATTATTTGAAATGGAATTACAGTGTCGCCTCCTGAGCCAAGACTTTGTGTCCCAGCGAGGAGGGGAAGAGCCAAGAAGGCTGCCTTAAAAGGAGAGGGAGCATGCAGATATCTGCAAACTAATACTGATACCTCCCGGATCACATTGAGAAGAACGTTTTCCAAGTTTCAAGTCTCGTGTCTTGAGGAAGCTCAGAATAGCAGTAATGCCATAAACGCGGTGGAGCAGACTGAGCAACGAGCTTGTTTGTCAACTCGGCGTGATGCCGCTGGTGTGCTTGTGAAGCTATGGAGGAGCAGGCCGTCGCGTGTAGCTCGGCATCCCTGAGCCTCTTGGTTCAGCTGTACGATGTTGTAGACATCTGCTGCTGCAGATAGCATGATGGTTGATGACTCCTCGGGTGAAATCTGGAAACTTGCTTCATTCCCCCAGAAACTCGCTTCATTCCCCCAAATTTTGATAAATTTGGGTTATGCAAAGTGATGCCTTAAATCCAGTTAAGTGGGTTAGCTTTCTCTGGCATGACCTTTCCAAAGAATCCTGTTCCCCATCTTAAAATTTGATGTCCTAAGGTTGTTTCAGGCTTACGCCCTTACCTTCAGCATAAAGACATTTTGCCTTGTGTGGATTATATGATGGGGAATAAGTGTCTGTGACCCCAGTGAAGGTGTTTTGGGTTTGGATTAAAACCTTGAGTGAATCACGCAGTTAAACGGGTGTTTTTGCTGCTTCAGAGTAGAAAACAGTTCAACTGTTAAGCCCTTTCAGAAAGAGTTTATGCTTTGGCCAATGACTCGTGTCAGGTTCAGCCTGGAGGAATTTAGAAAAGGTTGTTTGAGCCCTTACAGCGCCGGAGACCCCTCTCATGGTGGGGAACGTGGCACGCGGGGGCGGCTGCTCTGCCCAAAGCCCTGCCTGTACGTCTTCCCTGCTCTCGTCCTTCTCTCAAGTATTAGTACTGGACCCAGGCTTTCTCTCCTGAGAAAGATGCTCAGCTATCATTCTGATGGGGAAAAAAAAAAAATCCAGACTCTTTTAGCTGTAATTATAGATAAAACACATATTTGTCTTCCAGAATCACTTTGTTGCAGTTGCCCAGCTTGCCGTCTCAGTACTTTGAATTCAGACAGCAGCCCAAATGATCCGCCGCTCATAATATGTAGAATATACAGAATATGATTGTTAGCAATGTCTGAAGGATATTTTTAAAAGTTACCCTTAAAGTAGCAGTGGAAAATTTCTCACAGTGCTCAGAAATCTGGAAATGAGAGTCAAGGGGTGTGGTATTACTTTTTTTCTAATTAGAAGGTTTTTAAAAAACTGCTGGATCTGTGTGGCCGCCTTCTCCTTTCTCTGCTAGCCCACACTCTGCTCTTCCTGTCTCGCACAAGGACTTGCTCCTTTTCCTCCTTAATAGCAGTGTGTCTGATTTATTCTACGGGGTTTAAATTAAGAGGAAACTCAGCAGTAGGGAAAGAAGTGATGGATTTGAAAGCAATTCTCAGGCTCTTCTGTCCTGGCTCATTAGACTGTGTGGCCGCCTTCTCCTTTCTCTGCTAGCCCACACTCTGCTCTTCCTGTCTCGCACAAGGACTTGCTCCTTTTCCTCCTTAATAGCAGTGTGTCTGATTTATTCTACGGGGTTTAAATTAAGAGGAAACTCAGCAGTAGGGAAAGAAGTGATGGATTTGAAAGCAATTCTCAGGCTCTTCTGTCCTGGCTCATTAGACAGCCTGCTTTTTTTTTTTTTTTTTAAACTTAGAAAGTTGCTACAGAGCAGCAGCAACGCTGCCTTGCTCTCGGCTGGGGGGGGGGGGC